TCGGAAACCCACAGGAGCAGTTCTACCCTGTCCTATAGGGTCACTGTGACGCAAACAGCTACAGCTTGGGAAACCCTTGGGGGCAGTTCTAGGAGTGAAGAGTTTAAGCCGAGACAGCTGTTGGCCAAATTGTTCTCATGAATGAAAATAACTTCCTAGTACCCAGAGTCCTCTGGACCCAAATGGGGTGTGATTTGAACTGGTTTGAGGGAAGGAAAAAACCAGGAGGGCTTCCTGGAGGAGGACGCTTCCTCATTCTTTCTTCCTTTTTCTGTTCTCAGCAGCCTGGGCCCAAGCCCACCCCTGCAGCCCGTCGCTGCTCCGGCCTGGCCCGGCGGGTGCTGACCGTCACCTTCGCCCTGCTCATCCTGGGCCTCATGACCTGGGCCTATGCCGCTGGCGTGCCCCTGGCCTCCGATCGCCACGGCCTCCTGGCCTTCGGCCTCTACGGGGCCTTCCTCTCGGCGCACCTGGTGGCGCAGAGCCTCTTCGCCTACCTGGAGCACCGGCGGGTGGCAGCGGCGGCGCGGCGCGTGGCCAAGCGGGGGCCACTGGACGCGGCCGGGGCGCGCAGCGTGGCGCTGACCATCTCGGCGTACCAGGAGGACCCCGCGTACCTGCGCCAGTGCCTGGTGTCTGCGCGCGCCCTGCAGTACCCGCGCGCGCGCCTGCGCGTACTCATGGTGGTGGACGGCAACCGCCCCGAGGACCTCTACATGGTGGACATGTTCCGCGAGGTCTTCGCGGACGAGGACCCTGCCACCTACGTGTGGGACGGCAACTACCACCAACCCTGGGAGCCGGCGGCGGCGGGGGTGCCCGGCGCCTACCGCGAAGTGGAGGCTGAGGATCCTGGGCGCCTGGCAGTGGAGGCGCTGGTGAGGACTCACCGGTGTGTGTGCGTGGCCCAGCGCTGGGGTGGCAAGCGCGAAGTCATGTACACAGCCTTCAAGGCGCTAGGCGACTCGGTGGACTATGTGCAGGTGAGTGGAGGGCGCCCCTAGCACACCCCTGACCCTATCCCTCCATATCCAGCTTCTATGTTGAAATTCATCCACGACCTCCTCCTTGTTCTCATCCATTCTTCCTCAGATTCAGAGATTATTCCATCCATCCATCCATCCATCCATCTCACTTGTCATCCAGCTGCTCCTCTATATCCACCCATCCATTCATCCATCCATCTATTCAAGATAGAGATGCAACCATTCTCGTATTCAACTGCCCATTCAATGTGGACATTCCTTCCTTCCCTTATTCATTTATCCATTCACCCACCTACCCACCCACTCGTCTATCCATCCTTCCATCCGCTATAGAGATTCATGCATCTGCTTATGTAAGCACTCATTCACTAGAGATTCTAGCTTCTATCATTCACTCATTCTGCCCAATGTAGAGATTCTTTTCATCCATCCATCCATCCATCCATCCATCCATTCAAAATAGAGATTCATTTATTCAATCATCCCCTCAATATAGAGATTCTTCTTTCCCTTACAATGTAGTGGTTACACGTAGTGGTTACACGTCGGGCTGCCATCCCCATGGCCGGCAGTTGGGAACCATCAGAGGAGGACTGGGCTTTCTGCTCCCGTAAACAGTTGCAGTCTGGGAAACCCACGGGGGTGGTGACCATGAGTCGGCACTGACTGGATAGCAGTGAATCTGGCTTTGATTTCCCTTACTATTCATGAGTCATCCATCCATACATCCACTATCTATCCACCCATCTATCTATCGACATGATCAACACGGAAAATTTCCATTCAGCCATCCACTCATCCTTCCACTCCCTCCATCTATCCACTCACCAATCCATCCATCCATCATCCATTCAATAGAGAGGCATTCATTCTCTTATTCCACCAGCCATACAGTGTAGAGATTTTTTCCTTCACTCATTCCTTAATCCATCCACACACCCACGCATCCATCCATGCATCAAATATAGATTCAAGCATATATTTAATCATGCATTCAGTGTATACTCTTTTTATCATTCATTCATCTACCCAATGTAGTTTTTCATCAATCATTCATCTATCAACTCTCATCTATCCATTCAATATAGAGACTCGTTGGTTCATTTATTAATTCACACGTCATTCAATGTAGAGATTCCTTCTCCTCTTCACTCATTCATCTATCCAAACAATATAGAGATCATTTATTCATCCACACAGCCCTGTCATGTAGGGATCTATGTATTCGTTCCTCCTTCTATTCCTTCCTTTCTTCATTTAATGTAGAGATTTTGCTCATGCATTTATCCATTTAATTAGCTATTGAATCCATAGAGTCACTTAATACTTTATTCATCCACTGATTTGAGAGGTTAATTCACCGAAGCAATATATTTGTTCCCCATGGCTGGGTAACAAATTATCATAAAGCTAGCAGCATGAAGCAACACATATTCACTACCTCCTGGGGTATAGGAATTTGGACACAGCTTAGCAGAGTTCTCTGTTCAGTTTAATCAGGCTGCCACCAAGGGGTTTGCTAGGGCTGGTTCAGGGATCCTCTTCCAAGTGTGTGTGTTGTTGGCAGAACTCATTTTCTTGCACAGCCAAGGGACTCCCTGTAGCTTGCTTATTTTAAAAAATGATTTATTTCTTTTTTAATTTTAATTGGTTTCTTAATACTTAACAATTTCACCGACATACAGTCCACATAGCGTACATTCAATAGTTCAATCACATCCCTTAGAGTCGTGCAACCGTCAACACCAGCAATTCCCGGGCATTTCTTCTTCCGGGTGCGCATCACCACCACCATCAATTCCGGGGTATTTCTTCTTCCGGGTACGCATGGCTAGCTCCCCATTTCCTGCCAGCCTCTCCTGTCATGTCCCTTTGAATCTCTTGATCCCGTTGTTATCTCTATAAGTTTACCTAATCTGGGTTTTACCTACAGAAAATTATACAAACAAATAGCCTGACAACAATGACACAATTAAATGAAAAACGTAGCTTGCTTCTCCAAGGCAAAAGAGAGAGAGTGCCTAACTTCTAGACTCTATCTTTAAAAAAAAGTTTTATTGATATGTTATTCACACGTTGCACAATTAAATGATTTCAATATAGTCCAAAAATTGTGCACAATCAATTTTAGAACACTTTCTTCATTATTGGGCTCATTATTATTAGCTCCTTTTCAACCCCCCCCTCCCCCCACCCTCCCCTGCCATAACCCTAAAAACTTGATGTAGTTGCTGTCACTATAGATTTACCAATCGTGGATCTCATATAAAAAAACCATACCCCTCCCCCCAAAATAACACATACACACCCACCAAAAAAACTCTGCACCCCCTAAAAAAATAACCACACACAGATAAACTTCAATCCAAAAAGAGAGCAGAAAATAATTTTTTTTAAAGTAGAATGAATGTAAAAGGAGTCAAAAAAGAAAACAAATGATAAGGTATTAAATTTCAAGCTAACTTACATCTGCCTAAATCCACTTTCAAATTCACTCTGTCTGAGAGCAAGACTATTCACATCCCTAGTCGGTGGTCAGAGGGAATTGATTGGAGACTTAATCCACAAACAGATTTGGGATTTTCATTGTCATCCACAGCCTTCTGCAAACCAGCTGCTGAGAATTTAAACTCGGCTACAATTCCCTCCTCTGATCTCAGATCTACTTTTAAAGAGCTCCGGACTACTCAAGATTAGCTGGTTTTATTTGTTGAAAATGAACCATTCGGGGACCTTAATGACATCTGCAAGATCACTCCATCTTTTCCATGGACAGGAACATCATCATGGGAGTTCTACGCTGTCACTTTTGCCATGCCCTGGTGGTTAGAAGCCAGTAGACTCTCTCACACGCCCCCCAGGGAGGCTATTACACAGGGTGGCTGTCAGTCTTGGGGACATATGGAGCAATTCTACTCTGCCCTGTAGGGTCGTGGTGAGTCGGAATCGACTCAGTGGCAGTGGTGTTGTTGGTGTGTCATTGCTCTGTTGGTTTAGGACTGGGGGATCATGTTATGATGTGATTACTCACGCACACTTACTGCCATCCGATCAATGCTGACGCAGAGTGACCCTATAGGAACAGGGTAGAACTGCCCAGTGGGTTTCTGAGACTGTAACTGTTTAGGGGCGTGGGAAGTCTCATCTCTCTCCCGTGGAGTGGCTGGTCGTTTGGGGCTGCTGCTCCTCATCTCTGGTGCCCTCCCTGCAAACACCAGCCCCACACGGTGGGGTGTGGTCTGATCCCCCTCCCTTTGCTTCCACAGGTCTGTGACTCAGACACAAGGCTGGACCCTATGGCGCTGCTGGAGCTAGTGCACGTGCTGGACGAAGACCCCCGGGTGGGGGCTGTAGGAGGTGACGTGCGGATTCTGAACCCCCTGGACTCCTGGGTCAGCTTCCTAAGCAGCTTGCGGTACTGGGTGGCCTTCAATGTGGAGCGGGCTTGTCAGAGCTACTTCCACTGTGTGTCCTGCATCAGTGGCCCCCTAGGTGAGCAGGGGCCAGGATGGAGTAGAGAGCGAGAAGGGGAGCCAGCGTGTGGTTGAAACTGGGGGGAAGGCGGGGCTGAGGCAGGACCCGGGATGAGAATAAGACGAGGAGGTGGAGGTGCATTTGGTTGTGGCTGTGGGTTAGGGATGGGGTTGGAGGGCATATGTCAATGGGGATTGGGGCTGGGATTGGAAAAGGATTTTGAGAAAGGGCTGCAATAGGATTGAGGTCCAGGTCGGGGTGGGTTGGGGGGTGGAGATGGAGTTATAGATGAGGACAGGTTAGGGACGGGGCTGAGAATGGGTATGAGACTGGGGACGGAGTGAGGGAGGATCTGTAGCCAAAGTGGGTGTGGAGTCAAGGACTGGGTTGGGAACAGTTTGAAACAGGATCGGTGGCAAATGGAGATGTGGGGTTGGAAATTGCCTTGGGGTTGGGGTTGGTAATAAACCTGGCAGGGGGTTGAGATGGGAAGGGATGGGACAGGAATCAAAGAAGGGGTTGGGGATAGGATTGGAACTGATGCTGGTGACAAGAGCTGACGCTCCTGCACTCCCTCCACCACCCAGGTCTGTACCGGAACAACCTCCTGCAGCAGTTCCTCGAGGCCTGGTACAACCAGAAGTTCTTGGGCACACATTGTACCTTTGGAGATGACCGGCACCTGACCAATCGCATGCTCAGCATGGGCTACGCCACCAAGTAAGCCGAAGGGCCCCGGTGTTCCGGTGTGTCCTGGGGCCAGATAGGATCCCTAGGAGTGTGTATGCAGGTTGAGACTACTTCAAACCCAAAGGAACGAACTCCTATGTCAAGAGGCTCTGCCTAATGAGACATGAGGGGAGAGTGGAAGGTCCCATAAGGCACTGAGGTGGCATTTGCATTGAACCAATGGGCCAAACAAACACAGGAGCTCTGATGGCTTAGCGGTTACACATGGAACCGTGATCTGCAAGGGCAGCAGTTTGAACCCACCAGCAGCTCCGCCGGCAAAAGACAAGGCTTTCTGTTCCCCTAAAGAGTTACAGTCTCGGGGAGGGAGGGGGGAAAATGAGGAGCTGATACCAAGGGCTCAAGTAGGAAGAAAATGTCTTGAGAATGATGATGGCAACACATTGACAAATGTGCTTGATCCAATGGATGGATGGATAGATTGTGGGAAGAGTTGTACGAGCCCCCAATAAAATGATTTTTTTTAAAAGAGAGAGTTACGGTCTCAGAAACTCATGGGATGATTCAAGTCCTATAGGGGCAGTATGGAAAGTTGAGTTGGCATTGACTCAATGGCAGTGAGTTTGGTTTTTTGCTTTTTGTTTTGAATGGGTCAAATGATAGGTCTATAGAACAATCAACCAGAGGAGACAAAAAAAAAAACAAAAAACCAATCAAACAGGGAGAAAGCCCAGAAGGCACAAAAGGCTAGGGTATCAGGGTGGAGAGAGGTGAGGAGTGTGCTCTTGTATTGTGTGGAAATGCAATCAATGTCATGGATCAAAATGGGCCTGGATTGTTGAATAGAACCCCATTTGCTCTAAGCCTTCACCTAAATCACAATAAACTTAAAAAGAAAGGGGGGGATGGGGAAGGGGGCAAATTTTGGCCTACAGTGACTTGACTGCAGGGATTGATTAGTAATGTCTGCCATGGCCACAGGCAAGGATCTTCATGGTTCCCTTGCGAAACTCTACCACATGGATGAGGCTAGGCAGGAACAGTGTCTATCATGTTCCTCATCGCCGGGCTGCCAATAAGAGTCATTGCAATGGTATTTGTAATAGATTAGTGGTAATATTAGTAAGCGTGCTAGAGATGGTAATATTATTAGTAATTGCAATAGCAATAGTATTAGTCATAGCAAAAATCATAGGTACTATTCATTGAGCACATAACTAAATACTAGTCCTAAAAGAAAGAAACTAAAAAAGAAGCCACCAAATGAACTGTTGCCATCAAGTTGATTCTGACTCATGGTCGACCTCATGTGTTACAGAGTAGAGCTAACACACGGGGTTTTCTTGGCTATAATCTTTACTGAAAGTGATCTCCAGAACTTTCTTCCATGATGTCAAAGACCTAACCTGGTCCTGGATACTTTGGCATGGAATCCTCCCAGTAAGGGGCAGTGGTGGATCAGTGGTAGAATTCTCACCTTCCATGTAGGAGCCCCTGGGGTTCTGTTCGGCAAGCATTGTTCTGCTGTCAGGTGGATGGTTCAAACCCACCAGTAGCTCCTTTGGAGAAAGTCGAGGCTCTCTGCTCCCGTAAAAATATATAGTTATGAGTTGGAGTTGGCTCAGTAGCAGAGGGCTATGTAGCAGACCTGGATTTGTTCACTCCCCAGTCAATATGCTTTCTATGCAGCCTCTACCCATCAGTCAGGGGATGTTTGATGCTGACCCGGCTTCACCGGTGCTTCCCCACTCGACAGGCTTAGAGATCTACTCTTGACAACAGCCAGTGAAACCTCAGGGGCCACAACAGTCTGAGCCCAGAACCCAGATGGCCATTTTTGGAATCTTCTCCTCCAAAATCAAGACCCTGGTCTTCTAGTTGATTCTGACTCTTAGAGACCCTATGGAACAGAGCCCTTAGACGAGAGAGCAGAACGCCCCCCCCCCAGCCAACCCCCATCACGTTTCCAAGACATTTCCAATCTTTACAGAAGTAGAGGTCACCACCATCCTCCCAAGCAGCAGCTGCTGTGTTCGAACTGCTTGGCTAGCAGCCCCAATGCTTAATTCAGTGCACCACCAGGGTTTTGTGACGGACAAAACAAATTCCTTGCCATTAGGTTGATTGCAACTTCCAGCGCCGGTTTCAAACTGTTGACTTTGTGGTTAGCAGCCCAGTGCAGAACCCGCTTACGCCACTGGGGGCGCTGTGCGGCGCCCACCCAGCCCGTCTGTAAGGCGGCAATTCCCAGCAGGAACCAGCTCCAAGCCTCCAGACTCTGAGCGGGAGAAAGACGGTGCTGGTGCCGTCTACTCCCCTAAAGAGCTGTCGTCTCAGAAACTCTGTCCTGTCCTGGAGGGTCACTGGGAACTGCTATAGACTCGATGGCAGTGAGGGAGACGCTGAGAAAATAAAACTGCTGGTGGTATAGCCACCACTGGGGCAGTTCTGTTACAGCCCTCCCGTGGTGTCCAGGGACAGAGTCACACTGCCCAAGAGCTTCCAAGGCTGTAATCCCCGGGAAGCCCCCTGACCCGTCTTTCTCCCTTCAGTCCGTTGGTGGGCTTGACCCCCTGACACCTTGGTTTGGGGGTTAGCAGCTAGTCACTGAGACCCTGGGGAACATGCTCACTGTCACTGCCATCGAGTCTTGCCGACTCAGCGACCCCATAGGACAGAGTAGAACTACCCCCGTGGGTTATAAGAGTGTAACGCTTAAAAAAAAAATCATTTTATTGGGGGCTCTTACAGCTCTTACAACATCCCATACGTCAGTTGTATCAAGCATAGTCGTACGTAGGTTGCCTCGTCATTTCCATAACATTTTCTGCTTGAGCCCTTGGTATAAGCTCCTCTTTCCTCCCTCTCTCCCCCACCCCCTCTTTACAGGAGTGGATAGCCCTTTTTCCCACCGAGCAAGCAAGCAGGTGGTGCTGAACACCCAACCTTACGGTTAGGCAGCCCAACTCGTAACCACAACGCCACCAGGGTGCCTGGGAGACATCACCGACCCCATTTTACACAGGAGGCTCAGAGAGGGGAAGAAACTAGCCCTAGCCCATAGTGGCCATTTCTGGCACCAGAATCCTTTTTTTTTTTTTT